GACACAAAACCCTCTCGCGCGGTCTTACGCTCGGGCTCGCTCTCTCACTCAAAAGAACTTTGGCTTTCACCTTGGTGAGCGCGACAAAGCACCCCATGCCGTACCATCGCACAAGCGAGACCACCACCAATGGATGGAACCATTATGTCCAAACCGGAAAAGGATGAGTAAATTAACTAGTGCCCTCAGGCCCATCTAGACGTGACTAACACATGACTCCCACCTCTGACCACCTGCTTCCTGCCCTGACTGAAACTCCTTTTGTCACAGACAAAGAAACCGAACGTACACAGACAATCGTTTAAAAAAAATAAGTAGTGAAAATGTATCCACTGTATGTGTTATGCCGTAACTATATATTTGATGTTTATCTCAATCTTGGCCTTATAACTTTTCTTTTAGTGATTACGACGAGTAGCTGATAGGGTGTAAACCATTTAAATTAAAATCAGTTTAATCAGGTGGACCTCGACCTTTTCAGATTCGAGTCCTTTCAAAACTGAATGAATTAATAATAATTAATTCCCCTTATACAATTAAGTAATCCAAGTCATTACAGCTATGCATATGTTGAGATGTAGGTTGGGTTAGGGGTTTGGTGCTTGTGCAGTTGGCACTTTGACATGACCAATGAAATCTTTCAATTTGGCTGTAGGGTGGAGTTTGCACTGAACTTGTTTTGAGGGAAAAAAATATGCGAAAAATCCATCCAAAATGGTGAGTTGAGAGAAATTTTGACTCTGGTTATTTTTCGCTGTGTAATAAAAAAGTAGTAGTTGAATTTAATTAAAAACAGACTATTTTATGCAAAATTTGTGTGATAGTCAAACTTAAGAAAGTATTGGGTTATTAGTTTAACAACATGCTAACATGAAAAATTGTCTCTTGTCCAGTAGTATTCAAACTTTTTTGCATGCCAAGTGTTGTAGCCTAGAGAGTTCTAAATCACTTACGAGGTTACGTTTCAGTTAGCATGCTACTGCGTAAGATGTCAAAGCAGCTCGCTAAGCTACAAAAACTTGTCTTTCAAGAATTCACTGTGGTATTACAGTGTGGTATTACTCTTATTTCACAAGAATTTACCCATTCAGAATAGTAGTTATTAGCATATAGTCTTAAAGGTAAATTAGCAAAACGTATTAACGTAAGTGTCCCTCAGGGAAAAAATAAAATTTTAATTTGTTTTCACGATGGCGGTGCTGTTGCTAATTTCACATTCTAAGCAGTTAGACAATCATAATAGTGGTCATTATTACCATATAGTCTTAGTAGCAAAACTTACTAACATAAGTGTCCCTCAGGGAAAAATAACATTTTCACAGCTGTTTGCAATGCTTTTTAGTGCGATCTTTCAGTGTAATGTCATATAAAACATGTCCCAGACTCCTTTTCTTATTTGATTACATGCCTTCACAACAGATGGTTTAGTTTTATTTGAATTTCAGCTCCATTTTCCGTCTCGGTTCGATTGTTAAAAGTGTGACTATGACAATAAAATCTTGGCCCCAGTCCAGTGAGTCTTAATTATGCCATTGCAAAGCTGTCACTATCCACTCAATTACCACAATCACTTAAGCCACATGGCAGCCCGGCACATCCCTCAAGCCTCTCTACACTCATTACCACGCTAATCAACCGCAGAGATGCATTCAGCAATGCACCACCGACTGTAGATCATCCAGTCACACTAATAGAGGATTTGAACTCTGGTGTAGCTGTCCGTCATTTTGTCCATCAAGGCTTGTATGTGTTCTTGACTTGGTTTTGGGGTTTAAAGGAGTCACAGAATGAAGGATTGTGCATTAAATCTTTGTGGATGTATAATAGATGTATTTTCTGATGTGTCCCCTTTAAAACTTCTCGCATGCTTTTCTTGGAGGGCTTTGGCCCAAACCGAAGTGCCATTGGATCAGTTGTGTGGAGGATTTGGTTTGGCTGGAAGGGCTGCTGAGGGAACATGGTTGGTGTGAGTGAAATAGAGAGAGAAAGTGGTGGCTCGCGTGTCCCGGGTCTGTCAAGCCACTGTAAGCAAGCCCGAGGGAAATGAGAATGGCTCCTATATCAATTTATTTCCCTCTCTTTCTCTCTCTTTTTCTCTTTGTGACAGTAATGAAAAGGCATGTCCTGGTAATTCGCTCTCACGCAAATACACTGAGGCAGGAGAGGGAGAAATACATGCGGGGGGGGATAGAAGAGGGAATATCATCTCACTTAGGAGGAAAAATGAAAGCGAGAGAGGAAAGAGGGCGGTAAGTGGTTTATAGAAGATAAAAAGCTCAGACAGTGGAGCGTAAAAGGATGAATGTAATGAAAGGGGAGAAATGGGATTTTCTTAGTACTGTTTTCCGGTAATTACGAGAACAATAATTGAGGTAAATAGCACGTTAACTTTATTTGTCATTGTGACCATTAGTACGGTATCTGTGCGGTAAATATAAATAAAATATTTATGATATTCACAATGACTTTGGTGACGAGGTAAAATTAATCAACACTATAAATGTTGCGATTGTTTAAATGCTCTGTGTCTTTTGAATTTTTAAGAAAAATTTATATATATATATATATAT